GCGTTAAACAACAAACCAACCAAACCAAATCTTTGGAGGCTATTGAGGCTGAATATGTTGCCTACAGCAGGCAGTGGGTTACAGCTGTAATGAACCCCCCCCCCCCCCCCCCCCCCCCCGAACCCCATGAGGGGGAACAGATAGGAGTATATCTCCGCTAGGACTGGTGTAGCAATGTGTCAGCATGGATGCCAACTTGTGGATCTGTGTAAACATGCACACAAAAGATAATTGTTTTACCATTTGAAGCTAATGAGGGCCTCTTAAGATTCCCGGCTGCTACACAGCCGTTGGAGTAATAAACAAGTTAGTGGACATAGTATGAGTAGTGGCACAACTCAAGTGCAAACATGAACTTTGAATCACAGTTTACTGGTATTTGAAAGTGCTCATTTCTATAAAATACAGAGTGAGTGAGTATGGTTTTACGCCGCTTTTAGCAATATTCCAGCAATATCACGGCGGGGGACACCAGAAATGGGCTTCACACATTGTACCCATGTCGGGAATCGAACCCGGGTCTTCGGCGTGACGAGCGAACGCTTTAACCACTAGGCTACCCGACCGCCCCTGTATAAAATACAGAACATATGGGAACATTGGCCCCCAGCAACCCATGCTTGTCGCGAGAGGTGGCTGGATCAGGTGGTCATTCTCAGTGACTTGGTTGATTGCATATCATCATAGCCCATTGCATGGATCGATGCTCATGATGTCAACCACTGGATTGTCTGGTCCAGACTGATTATTTGCAGACTGATGTCACATCGCTGGAATATTGTTGAGCCCAAGATTAAACAACAAACCAATGTAAACCGTATATATAATTAACTTCTTACCAGATACACTTCCAGAGCTCCAGATAAGCTGCGTATCTGCGTAAAATACGCATCAGAAATGCAGTAATACGCAGTAAAATAAAATCCAAGCGTATCAAATATGCAATGAACATTACAGATACGCTACAAAAATAAAACTTGTGCATATCATCAAAATATCGTGAAGTAACCCTCCATATTCGATTAGCAAATCAGCAACTTTATTTTGAAATTATTAAGGGGCATTCCGTCAACCTTGCCGAACTCCACGATGACAGTTACATCATGATCATTTGCCATCACACTTTCTTGTGGAAGTATCGTGGTATTTTTTAGTCCTATAAAGCTTACGAACCCACACGACACCAGTTTGCAGGGGCTAGATGAGTAGTGTTTTTAAATATTTAACTTAAATACCCACATGTGTAAAAACTAGTTGGTAACAGAAATTTTAATACCCAGATAGAATTACTGATACCCAATGATTTTAAAATGCATGGGTAAAATACCCACAACACAAAGCTTATCTGGAGCTCTGACTTCTCTGTATTTTGTCTACACCAAATCTTTTATGCCTCTTTCCACAAGCCCTTGGAACAGTTTGACATATGAACAAATTGACCAAGATAGAAAAACATTCAAATTAACATACCATAAAGACCAGTTTCTTCACAGAGTTCAGCAACCCATGCTTGTTGTCAGAGGCGACTAACTGGATTGGGTGGTCAGGCTCGCTGGCTTGGTTGATCCATGTCATCGCATCCAAATTGGGTATATATCGATGCTCATGTGAATCACTTGACTGTCTGGTCCAGACTTGATTATTTACAGACCACTGACATATATCTGGAATATTGCTAAGTGTGGCGTTAAACAGCAAACTAACAAACACTCAGGACACACACTGTTATTAACATTTCTATTTGATTTGTGGCTGAATGAGCCGACAATTGCCAGCAGGTGAAGGGATGTCATAAATCCTACTAGAATACCATGCAGTGAGCAGGGTAGACAGACTTAAGGAGATGGGAGATTCAGAACTGAAACTGTGGTAAATCGAGACTTCCTTCACTTAAGATTTTAGCATTTTAGGACTGGGTGGAAGGGAAAATACTATGTTCAGGGACTGTGAGACAGGATGTAGCAGGGTAGTGTAGTGAGTGAGTGAGTATGGTTTTACGCCGCTTTTAGCAATATTCCAGCAATATCACGGCGGGGGACACCAGAAATGGGCTTCACACATTGTACCCATGTCGGGAATCGAACCCGGGTCTTCGGCGTGACGAGCAAACGCTTTAACCACTAGGCTACCCGACCGCCCCCAGCAGGGTAGTGTAAGTTCCTATGGTGGCCTTACCTTGGTTGCTGTGAATGTTGAGCCCGTTTTTTACATTCCATCGTTGGTCTTTTCAATATTCTCCTGATGCATGTCATCGTATCCCAATTACGTGGATCAAATCTCATGATGTCAATCACTGGATTGTCTGGTCCACACTTGATTATTTACAGACAGCCGTCATATAGCTGGAATATTGCTGTGTGTGGTGGTAAACAACAAACAAACACACACAATAATGTTCTCCAACTAGCCTGTGAAGAAAGAAGACCAAGTCGTCTGTTGCCATAGTCGTCATCCATAAACTTTTTACATTTTCGACTTGCTTCTTGGTTTCAGCTGAAATTCAGTTTAGATGTTTGATTCTGTAAGGGGTTTCAACTTTGTTCAACTCAAGGCATCTAAAATGGAATTTCAATATGGCCAAGAATCTCCTTCTCAAACACTTAAAAGGACCGGAGGCGTGAAACACGGTGGGGAGATAGTCATCTTGTGAAGTTTCAAGATTGTTCAAGGCATCTTGACTGGAAATCAAATATGGCTGCCAGCGGCCATATTGGAAAGTAAAAAAATACCATATTGAAAATTATATTTATGGCCATTACTCATGAAATGACAGGCCTCAAAGTTGCGACTAAAACGGTCGCAATTCGACCTAAACATTAATTTGTCTACTGTCTAAAAGCCAATGACTACCTAGAAAAAATCTTGTAGCAACTAAATTCTATTGCCTCACATTTGAAAACACAAAAGTAAATAACAGCTGATTGTGGAAAACATGTCTGCTAATAATTGTACTTGCGTATAGTTCCTCCTTAAGTCAACAATGAACATAAATACATAAATAATAATGTAATTAGTATCTTATTTCAGTTGACAATGCTCATCGGATAAGCAAGGATATACCTAAATAATCTTGTAACATAAACTGCATCATTGTTTGAGTCACAAATAACAAAAATCAAGTTTCCACTAATATACAATTTCAAGACTAGTGCTTTGACTTGTACATATTATAATAGTTATTTGATAAAAGATGATTCCAAATGCTTTTGGCTACCTAGAATATTGGCTTGACTTCTTGATTTTACTACTGGCTACCTGGAAAAAATGCTTGTTGCCATACGGCTACTTGGTAAAAATGTAAACTGTGAGGCCTGAATGAGTTTATGACACTTGGTATGCATAGTCAGTAGTGGCGTTCAACATGTTGGTTTATCGTGATATATAAAACTGATTTTAACCTTGCAATTTGGAACATACTCTTTAATTCTCTCAAAAAGCATTTACTCACACTATAAACATGATCTCCCCAGATCTCCTTTATCATACATTATATCAAACATTTTATATTTATTATACATGCTTGTCCCAACCAATGAGGGCATCTGAATTGTTTCAAGCGGTTTGAATCTAATTTTCAATATGTCCCCCATCGCAGCCATATTGTAAAACCTTTTTATGGCCGCTGGTCAGCCATTTTGGCTCAAATGTACAGTAATGTTCTTAAATTATCTCAAAATGCAGTTTCGGCTCTGAAAGTGCCAGACAGAGGAAGCTGGACTCGGTTATTCAACCAATGAAAACACACACATTTCTTCGGATCAGCACCTTCATTTAATCGGCAAATCATGACAATATAACAAGACAGTTTTGGCAAGAAGCTCCCACCTCAAAACAGTTCAGGTGTGAAAGTAGGTGATGTTCCACCTGTGGATGCATTAATATCTCATGTAGAGAAGGTAAAACGATAAAATAACACAAAATTGTGAGAAAACATTTCATAAAAATTCATAATATCAAAGACCAAGGATGATAAAGGCAAGAGAAGTTGTATTTACCGTATTTCCTCTATTAAGAGCCCAGGCCAGTGTAGACCCAGCACAATGGGGAGGTGAAATGGAGATCAGACACGACTGGATGTTTAAAACATTCACAACAACCAAAAAGTGCAGCTTTATTTTTTACATTCGGAACTGCCAAATAATATTCGTTTTTGAGACACATACGTCACACATGCCAAGAGGTATCCTATGGAAGTAAAGATCTGATTTTAATGCGAATGATCATCGACACTCTCGGTAAAAAAACCAGAAGCAGTGACAAAGAAACAATCAGCAGATCGTGGCATGGGTATTTTTTATATTCTACTCAAAACAAGTTAAAGAACACCCTCTATCTGATGTTTGCTAACATTTGTTTAGTAGTATATTTTACAATATATGATTGTTTAATGCCGCACTCAGCAATATTCCAGCTACATGACGACAGCCTGCAAGGAATCAAGTCTGGACCAGACAATCCAGTGAATGATGTCTTGCGTCACTGTTCGGTTACAACGACACGATATCACCATAGTAACCAGGCCAGGATCCGGGTACACCTGGCAGTAATTTTTATTCCTCATTCATCTTAACTGAGTAAACTCGACCCATTCTTGTTATTTGACACCTCACTCTGCAATAATCCACCAATATGACAGCAGCCTGTAACTAAATGAGTCTGGCCCAGACAAACCTATGATTGATATAATGAGCAGCGATCCACGAAAACCAAATCCCCAAGCCTGGCAACACAATCCATTAAGCTGCCATTTTGTACAAACCAGGCCAGGCTCACACAGAATCCCCATCGTGTTAACCTCATAGAGGCAGGCTCTGCCTAGAGATACCTTCACAATAGAAGAAGAGTTTGGGTCGCACAGTGGTTAAAGTGTTCGGTTGTCACACCAAATGCCAGGTTCGATTCTGGTGTCCGACACATGATATTGCTGGAATATTGTTAAAAGCGGTGTAAAACCCAACTCACTAACACACTCACAATTAGCAATCTCATTAAAATCAGATCTTAGTTCTTGCTACCCCTTAACAAAGATCTGAGGACATCCCATTACAGGTCACGTCAGAACAACCTTTCGTGGACTTTGATGGACCAATGAAATGACTAGCAAGAAGTCAATTAGCCAATCAGAAAGCTTTCTCGAACAATACAGCATTAGTTTTAAACTGACGAATTCAATTCCAGACTACACTTTGAAAAGTATTCTTGATTTAAAATTTGTAAAGTGAACAAAAGAACATTCTGGAATGTTCGAGATGGCCGAGATTGTATGGCAGTACTTCCCACGAGCTATGCAAAGACTGTCCTGTTCAAGTGTTTATCCCCTTGAAGTTTCGAGATAGATGATGACTGTGATGGAATCAGTTGTACAGCCCATAACTGTAGTTCGGAATACCCCGTGTTGACCTTTTCAAGGTTGCATGATCAGAAAACATTCAGACTGTGACTTTCCTGATCTGGTAAGCGACGCTCTGAATGGTCGGATGAAGGTCATTCTAACAAGACCCATAATGGAAGGTCCTAAGATCTTTGTTCAGCAGTAGACCTGAGTTTAATGAGAACATCAGACGGAAAACAACCGATTTTGTTATGTCTTAAATGTCCACAAATTACAAAATTACCAACTTAAATATGTTGTTACATTTGAGTTTTTTTAACATTTGCTCAAAGGTACTTTTCTGATAATTAAGACAACTGATCGATATTTAGTTAACAATTAATGATCTCTAGGATCCATATCTATAGCCAGCATGCATTTACTATCCACACAAAGTTTGTGTTGTATCACACAAATAGAAGATATGAGATTGCTGTAAAAATAATGCCATTGACATCCAAGTCACTCTGAGATCATATACGACCAAAAAAAGACCAAAAATGAAATAAATAAAATTCAAAATAAATCCAGTCTCGGTATAGCAGTGTCACAGAATTCAGTCAGTCATGTTGGATTTTGGCAACATAAATCGAAGCTGCTGATACTATAGGAATATATTGTACAATATTTGCATAAATTTGCATATTTATATCACGGGAATCAAGAGGCTATACAGTCAATAATACCAAATACTGGAAGCTCACTGTATTCAAAACATATATGAATTAGTGCAAACTAACTGTTCACATGGACACCTCGGACAGAATATGACACTTGGATATGTGATAGACGGCATATCCATGGATATGACACACAATATATAACCCTAACGTATGTCCGATATATATCTGCACATGGTATACCATATTGTATAGGGTATATTCATGGATATAGCATACCAGGTGATACAAGGCATATCCATGGACATAGCATACCATGTGGTACAGGGCATATCCATGGATACAGCATACCATGTGGTACAGGGCATATCCATGGATACAGCATACCATGTGGTACAGGTCATATCCATGAATATGGCATCCCATATGCTCCATGTTATATGTGGCATACCATCTGGTACAGGGCATATCCATGGCTATAGCATGCCATATGGTACAGGGCATATCAAAGGATATAGCCTACCATGTGGTACAGGGCATATCCATGGATACAGTATACCATGTGGTACAGGGCATATCCATGGATACAGCATACCATGTGGTACAGGGCATATCCATGGATATAGCATGCCATATGGTACAGGGCATATCCATTGATACAGTATACCATGTGGTACAGGGCATATCCATGGATACAGTATACCATGTGGTACAGGGCATATCCATGGATACAGCATACCATGTTATACAGGGCACATCCATGAATATGGCATCCCGTATGTTGCATGTTATATTTGTCATACCATGTGGTACAGGTCATATCCATGGATATGGCATCCCATATGCTGCATGTTATATATGGCATACCATGTGGTACAGGGCATATCCATGGATATGGCACCCCATATGCTGCATGTTATATATGGCATCCCATATGCTGCATGTTATATATGGCATACCAGCATGGATTCTAAACAAAATAACATAGGGATCATGAATATTTTGGGGGATTTTTTTTATAAAATTGTGTCGTAGTCTGCACTAACTAAAATATCCCCCAAAATACCCATTATCCCTAAATATGTTTCTGCAGTATAGTGCAGGTCATATCGATGGACTTATGCCATCCTCTATGCTACAGGTCATATTCTCTCCATCCAAAAGGTACCAGATATGGCATCTTATATAATATATGACATCCAATACGGTCCTGGAAACAATGTCCCATATGGTACCGAACATGTCCACATTCTCAACCTTTGAAACAAGTGTGCAACAACACTGAATTTAAGGTCAGAACGCACCCAAGAAACGTGACTAGTCCAGATGGTAATATCATATCCACTAACTAATGTCTGGAGTTTCCTCCCCTTGCCTCTGTGTCCGGAATAAAATCCATAATTAAAAGCAAAATCCATTATCAATAGCAATGATAGGAAACTGTGGCAGTGTTCTGAAAATAGCTTTGATCTACAGTTTTGTTTCAAGTACTTGTGTTAAAGCTGACCCAGTGAAAAATTGAGGATTTAACAATGACTACAATCTCATTAAAATCAGATTTCAGTTCTCCCTATCACTAAACAAAGATCTGATGACATTCCATTATGACTATGCTTTGAAACATATTTTGACAAATTCTGGAATAAAAATTTGAAAACTGAAGAAACGAACATTCTGAAATGGCTCATTGATGACCTAGATTGTATGGATTCAGTCATAAAGCCCTGAAACTGTCGTTCGAAATACCTTGTGTTGTCTTTCGAGGGTGCATTATCAGAAATCAAATTCAGACTGTCACGTTCATGATCTGGTAATTTTTGCGATGCTCTGATTGGGCGGATGAAAGGTCGTTCCGACATTACTCGTAATGGGATGTCCTCAGATCTTTGTTTAGCGGTAGCGAGAACTAAGATCTGATTTTAATAAGATTGACAATGACTATTGTACAAATTGAGAAGAAGGTCCAGTTTTACATGGGGCAAATCTTGTGAAATGAAAAATTCCCCCTTACATGGTTGTGGTTCTGACAAGCCAAGGATCATCATCAGGGAAACATTGGATCGATTTTATTCAACCACCATCCCAAAATCCAGGCAGCTAAGGGGGACAACTCTGCAAAGCGAGATCTCATCATTCAGGCCAATGGGTGTTCCATTAAAAGCAACATCAGCAATTTTCACTCAGTATTTTCTTCATGGACACATATTGTGCAATAATGGAAACTTCAGTGACAACTGTGACTGCCATACAACTAATTATATACAAGATATGCACAGGGCAACACAAAGCCACACGACAAACTCCAAACATTGCTCTCTGGCTTGGGCAATCAAGAGTTAGCTCCCTTTGTGATTTTTTGTGTGTATCTGAAAACCAGTGCAAAATCTATGATCAGAATAAAATTATGGACAATTTATAAGAAGATTTATCACAGATTGTAAATTAAAAGTAAAATGCCCAGAGTTACATCTAATGCCAATAAGTTTATGATACAGATGATAATACAATAACATCAACCTTCTGTTTATACGAGCACAATTTGCAGTACTTGATCCGAAATAATGAAATTTCAAATCGTCCTCAAAGATATTATACTGTAATATAAAAAAAAAAATTATTACTGGATATTTTCAATTGGTAAGAAGCTTAACATTAATTCACAATGCAGCATATAGCCTTACTCAAAACAATAATAGTTAAATCAAGAAAGAGCACATGAATCAAGATGGCCGCCTCATAAGCCTCATTCTGAATTCATGTGATCAAAATACAATACATGACAAGACATGAAACATCATAGTTTTTATCTCAGGGGCTGCAGTGTTACAATACCATATATTTATCTATCTACATGTATTTACACTGCATAAATTATGAAAGGTTTTGTACAATGAAAATGAAAAAATAGGGGTGCAATATACAGCCGTACAAACTAGCGTTTTATACGCACATTCAATAAATGTGTGATCCTGGTAATAAGATTTTGCCCCGATTATGTTCCACATACCCCTGGCCACTTGTATTGAATGGTCTATGTAATCAATGATGTAATGGCTTCTCCTGCCAGTTCTGCAGTGTCTGCCATATTGCACCTAATGATGCGTACATCACTGGGAAGTCCAGATACAACTTTACACGCGACCACATACCGAACAACAAGAAGACATACAGAATTAAGTCCCTATGTCTTCTGTAAATAGGGAGAATTCATTATTTTCGTTTGTTGAAGGGCTTTGTTCTGGACACTCTGAACCATTATCCTGATTGTCAAGTCCATTCCAGTGTCCCTTGAAGGCAAGAACAAGCTCGTATTGGCTCTTATTATTACTCTCTGCTCACAGACTGCGATCTGATTGGCTCTCTTGTAAGCTCTTTTCACAGACTGTGATCTGATTGGCCCTCTTGTAAGCGATCTGATTGGTTATCAATCCTACTACCTGCCACACTATTTACTTGGCTCTCATTCTTAGACTGTAGACATATACTCTATCATAATGTATACCTGTATGCTGTTGCCTGATTCTCAAGGTGTAGGGTGCCATCTGATTGGCTCTCATTTCTACTGTGGTCTAAAGTTGCTATCTGATTTAAATTATCCATTACGTGCCCAACTTGAGTGTCCAGAGCATTTTGAGCTGTGCTGAAAATAACAATTTGAGGAGGTGCGGAGAGATTCTGAGATTCAATAGTGAAAACGCCATCTTGCCACGGCATGATGCCCAATATCAACTCAATAACATTGCAACAATTGGTGAACATGAAACAGTCTGCATTTACTGACCTTAAAACGATTTGACATATCAAATATTCTCACATACAATTCAAATCACTGAAAGAAAAAGCTCTCTTTCAAAACCTCATTCCAAACTTTCTGCAAGTGGAGTGACTGCACATTTAAAAAGGGACATAATTCCTATAAGGGAGATAACTCTCACAGCGAGGCAGCTATCAATGAGATGTGTACTTTATCAAAATGTCCAACACTTTCTTCCAGGGCTATATCTGATGTGGATATCTTCAGATTGTTGAGCAGAAGTCCACAATCGTTTAGAAAATATTACACTTTCTTGACAAAAAATGTTAGAAATGTTTGGAGTGAAGCTTTCTTCCCCACAAAAAACAAGCCCCAAAGTGACATCGGCTGGGAGATATCCAGTAATGGCTCACCATGAGACAGGGTCTACTTGACATTCTTACATGTGGCTCTTGTCTGAAGGGAGATATTTAGGATTCAACACAAAGTGTCCTTGGCATGCATTTTGGGAAAATACTGATTTAAAATTGGGATTGTTTGAATGTTCTTATGCCATCATGTTAATTTAAGCATTCAATGCTCTTCCTCCTTACTGGTCCTGTATTAGTTACATATGTGTAAACATGAACTGGGAAACCTGGTTTCCTGTAGACCTTGGGCTCAATACCAGCCTCTGAGCAGGTCTAGAAAAAATATCTCAGAGTTACTTATCTGTTATTTCCATATTTGCAGACCTTATCTTACAAAAACGAAATGATCCATCAACAATGTAAGCTTTACAAGTGGAAATGACATGCAAACATTTGACACAGCTCCTAACTTTACAATAAAGGACATGTTTCAATTCACAAACAATCTTCCTTTAACATAACAATTGTAGGTGAGCAGAGTGTGGAGATACCAAGGGAGATAACTCCCTTGATGAGGGAGATAACTCTCATGGTGAGGAAGCCATCAATGAGATGTGTATCGGGTCGGTTGATGGTGGTCCTATGCTATAATGATGTTTCATTGGTTGGTGGCCTTGCACCATCATTTTCATACATGGAAATTCTCTGTTTTAACATCCGAATCTGAAAACAAACAAAAACAAAAAAGCTTTAGAATTTTGCATATCATATTATTCCAATTCTCAAGGCTGCTCTACGAGGAGCACTATTTTTTAGTTTGCGATAAGGGGAGACATTTTATATAGCCCTATTATCCACCTACCCGAGTTTCATATATCTCTGTTATCCACCCACCTGAGTCTCATATATCTCTGTTATCCACCTACCTGAGTCTCATACATCTCTGTTATCTACCTACCCGAGTCTCATATATCTCTGTTATCCACCTACCTGAGTCTCATACATCACTGTTATCTACCTACCTGAGTCTCATATATCTCTGTTATCCACCTACCTGAGTCTCATACATCTCTGTTATCCACCTACCTGAGTCTCATACATCTCTGTTATCTACCTACCTGAGTCTCATACATCTCTGTTATCCACCTACCCGAGTCTCATACATCTCTGTTATCCACCTACCTGAGTCTCATTCATAACTGTTATCCACCTACCCGAGTCTCATACATCTCTGTTATCCATCTATCCGAGTCTCATACTTATCTGTTATCCACCTATCCGAGTCTCATACATCTCTGTTATCCATCTATTCGAGTCTCATATATCTCTGTTATCCACCTATTCGAGTCTCATACATCTCTGTTATCCACCTACCCGAGTCTCATTCATAACTGTTATCCACCTACCCGAGTCTCATACATCTCTGTTATCCACCCACCTGAGTCTCATACATCTCTGTTATCCACCTACCTGAGTCTCATACATAACTGTTATCCACCTACCCGAGTCTCATACATCTCTGTTATCCACCCACCCGAGTCTCATACATCTCTGTTATCCACCTACCTGAGTCTCATACATCTCTGTTATCCATCTATCCGAGTCTCATACTTATCTGTTATCCATCTATCCGAGTCTCATACTTATCTGTTATCCACCCACCCGAGTCTCATACTTATCTGTTATCCACCTACCTGAGTCTCATACATCTGTTATCCATCTATCCGAGTCTCATACTTATCTGTTATCCACCTATCCCAGTCTCATACATCACTGTTATCTACCTACCTGAGTCTCATATATCTCTGTTATCCACCTACCTGAGTCTCATACATCTCTGTTATCCACCTACCTGAGTCTCATACATCTCTGTTATCTACCTACCTGAGTCTCATACATCTCTGTTATCCACCTACCCGAGTCTCATACATCTCTGTTATCCACCTACCTGAGTCTCATTCATAACTGTTATCCACCTACCCGAGTCTCATACATCTCTGTTATCCATCTATCCGAGTCTCATACTTATCTGTTATCCACCTATCCGAGTCTCATACATCTCTGTTATCCATCTATTCGAGTCTCATATATCTCTGTTATCCACCTATTCGAGTCTCATACATCTCTGTTATCCACCTACCCGAGTCTCATTCATAACTGTTATCCACCTACCCGAGTCTCATACATCTCTGTTATCCACCCACCTGAGTCTCATACATCTCTGTTATCCACCTACCTGAGTCTCATACATAACTGTTATCCACCTACCCGAGTCTCATACATCTCTGTTATCCACCCACCCGAGTCTCATACATCTCTGTTATCCACCTACCTGAGTCTCATACATCTCTGTTATCCATCTATCCGAGTCTCATACTTATCTGTTATCCATCTATCCGAGTCTCATACTTATCTGTTATCCACCCACCCGAGTCTCATACTTATCTGTTATCCACCTACCTGAGTCTCATACATCTGTTATCCATCTATCCGAGTCTCATACTTATCTGTTATCCACCTATCCCAGTCTCATACATCACTGTTATCCACCTACCCGAGTCTCATACATCTCTGTTATCCACCTACCTGAGTCTCATACATCTCTGTTATCCACCCACCCGAGTCTCCTATATCTCTATTCACCCACCTGAGTCTCATACATCTCTGTTATCCACCTACCCGAGTGTCATACATCTCTGTTATCCACCTACCCGAGTCTCATACATCTCTGTTATCCACCTACCGGAGTCTCATACATCTCTGTTATCCACCTACCCGAGTCTCATACATCTCTGTTATCCACCTACCCAAGTCTCATACATCTCTGTTATCCACCTACCCGAGTCTCATACATCTCTGTTATCCACCTACCCGAGTCTCATACATCTCTGTTATCCACCTACCCGAGTCTCATACATCTCTGTTATCCACCCACCTGAGTCTCGTATCTCTCTGTCATGGATTGCAGCTGTGTCTCCAGCTTCTTTAGTTTACTCTGATACTTCTTCTTGGCTTTGTCAAAAGCTGATATCAAGGCACTGAAACAGTTTGGATGTTGCTGTAGCACATGTCAGATCACCACTGACCACGTCACAACTTACCCCGGCAGAAGCTGACTGAAAGCCATGAGAGAAGTAACTGTTTCTTGTGTCATGTGTGACACTGAAGCTAATGGACCAACCATTTGATATTTCGGAGGCTGGGGAGGGGGGTTCTGTGATTTTGTATGGAAACTGGATATATTTCAGCTACAGCTGCAAAACCAGTTATTTTTTTCAAAATATTATCCTAAAGTTTTCTTTTTTGTAAAAAACATCTTGCAACAATGTATTTTTTGTGGCAGAGAATTTCTATTTTTTTCAACAGTCTGAAGCATAATAATTATTTTCAGGCATTTTCTGGGTCAATGTTGTTGTTTTTTATATAATCCCAGGCCCCTCCTAGAATATCAAATGGTCGGATCCCAACTAAATACACTAGTGCTGCTTCATGAACTGCAAAAATACCTAGATCCTCTTTCCTTGTTCCATATCTAAATTATATTAAAAAAGGTGGCCACATATGTCCTCTCAATGTAAAACAAAAACTTGCACAATTTCAAAATCTAGAGTTCACCACCCACCTGTTTGCTCTTTTCAAGTCATTCACAAATTCTGCTGACTGTTGATGTCTGATCTCAGAGTTCCGGGAGATCTTCTCTAGTGTTGACACGAGCTCTTGAACCCGGGACTTCAACTTCTTCTCTCGTTTCAGGGCATCGCAGAGGTCCTGCGCAATGTCGCTCGAGTTGTTGGTCCGCAGTTCCGCCATTGAGATCATGGGTGCCAGGTCACAGTCGATATCCTGCAACAGTGAGCCAGTTTATATGAGGTGTTCGTTCTACCTAGACCACTTAACTATTGGGTGCCCCACCTCCACCAAATTTCCCCTCCTTGTACTTCATTGGCTGAGTTTCTGCTGCTGCTCCAACACCTCACATATGAGGTGTTCTATCTCAACCTGGTAGGCCTGCATTATCATTGTTTGTTTCATGTTGTTTAACGCTGCACTCTAGCTATATGACTGCGGTCTGTAAATAATTGAGTCAGGAGCAGACAATCCAGTGGTTGATATCATGAGCAATGATCCACACAAGTGAGATGTGATGATTTGCATCAACCAAGTCAGCGAGTCTGACCATCCGATCCCGTTAGTCGCCTCTTACGACAAGCATGGGTTGCTGAAGACCTACGCATTATCATAAGGTAACATACACACATTAAAAAAATCTCATTTTCTTTATGATTGATTGTTTCTAGGTTTGTCAGCACCATACTTTTGCTTTCACCAAAGTGGTAAAAGTCTGAGACCTGCATCACTTGGGGCTTTCCTCCCACATTAAACTTAAACGCCGTGATAAAACTGGAATATTGTTAAAAGCGGCGTTAAACCCAACTCACTCACTCACTCTTTATGACTGATATTGCTACTTTTGTTCAGTACCAGAAATTGACACAGATAAGAAAATTGTGAATCTAGTAAATGAATGGAAAAATCTTTTCTTGTCGTCTCAGAAAAGTTATAATTTTTTTCTAAAAATGGCATCTGATTTTTATTTTTTGGGGGGGAAATACATCCTTTGAATTTTGATGAATTTATGTATGACCCTATATTTTATAATCTTAATATTGCAGTTGGCAGAAAATCTTTCTTCTATTCCTACTGGTTTGATAAAGGTGTCAGTCAAATCTGGACTGATTATACACAAGGAGATTATCTCCCCTTAGCTGATTTTAAGAAAGGTCTGGCATTGAGACTTCCCTTTTACAGTACTATGGAGTTATACAAGCTGTTAAGAAATCTTTGAAATCTTTATCTGTCTCAAAAGTTGAAAACTTTTCAAACTTGGATGACAACAACTATGTTAGAAAACCTTTAAAGTTTCCCAAGTTTATAATTTTATGCTGATGTCCAAAGAAAATGCACTAAATTCGCAAAACAAATGGAAAAACATTTTGAAAGAACTCAAGAACAGATATATTTGAAGCCTTTGTTAACAATTAGAGACACAAAGCTGAGATGGTTTCTGAACAGAATTATTCATACAATTCTTACAACCAACTAATTTATTTGCAAAATTAAAATGCGATCAAATGATCTATGTACTGTTTGCATGTCAGAAACCGAATCTACTGTACATTTGTTCTGTGAATGTGAAAAAGTAAAAATATTTTGGAAATCCCTGATAAATTGGTTGAAAGATAAATGTACTCTTATATATGAGCTAAATATACATGACCCAAAGTTTATATTATATAGTAGAATACTGCTGACACTGACAGTCTTTGACTTTATAATATTATTTGCCAAATATTTCATACATAAATGCAAGGTGAAGGATATAAACCATTTAAAAAAAATTACACTCTTGTTACAATATTGAAAAATGTATTCATTTTAATCAAACTACTTGGAGCAAATTTTATTCACAATGGATGCTGTATCATTGTATTTTTGAGAACCACCGATGTAATTCTCATGTCGGCACAGATATTGATACTGTATCAGGGGCTTGAGAATAAAAATAGATAAAAACATACTTTCAATCCTTGTTAGCCATTAGTTTCTGCTGCTGTTCTAACACCTCACATATGAGGTGTTCTATCGAGACCAGGTGTGGTTTAACAAGTCTTACCAAGGACTCACCTTCTTGTACCAGCTATCCTTGTTGGCCATGAGTTTCTGTTGATGCTCCAACACCTCACATTTGAGGTTTTCTATCTAGACCAGGTGTGGCTTACCAAGTCTCACCAAGGACTCACCTTCTTGTACATGCCATCCTTGTTGGCCATGAGCTTCTGTTGATGCTCAAACACCTCACATATGAGGTGTTCTATCGAGACCACATACAGCTTACCAAGTCTCACCAAGGACTCACCTTCTTCGACATGCCATCCTTGTTGGCCATGAGCTTCTGTTGATGCTCCAAACCTCACATTTGAGGTGTTCTTATCTGGACCAGGTGTGGTTTACCAAGTCTCACCAAGGACTCACCTTCTTGTACATGCCATCCTTGTTGGCCATGTGCTTCTGTTGATGCTCCAACACCTCACATTTGAGGTTTTCTATCTAGACCAGGTGTGGCTTACCAAGTCTCACCAAGGACTCACCTTCTTGTACATGCCATCCTTGTTGGCCATGAGCTTCTGTTGATGCTCAAACACCTCACATATGAGGTGTTCTATCGAGACCACATACAGCTTACCAAGTCTCACCAAGGACTCACCTTCTTCGACATGCCATCCTTGTTGGCCATGAGCTTCTGTTGATGCTCCAAACCTCACATTTGAGGTGTTCTTATCTGGACCAGGTGTGGTTTACCAAGTCTCACCAAGAACTCACCTTCTTGTACATGCCATCCTTGTTGGCCATGAGTTTCTGTTGATGCTCAAACACCTCACAAATGAGGTGTTCTATCGAGACCACATACAGCTTACCAAGTCTCACCTTCTTCGACATGCCATCCTTGTTGGCCATGAGCTTCTGTTGATGCTCCAACACCTCACATTTGAGGTGTTCTATCTGGACCAGGTGTGGTTTACCAAGGACTCACCTTCTTGTACATGCCGTCCTTGTTGGCCATGAGCTTCTGTTGATGCTCCAACACCTCACATTTGAGGTGTTCTATCTGGACCAGGTGTGGTTTACCAAGTCTCACCAAGGACTCACCTTCTTGTACATGCCATCCTTGTTGGCCATGAGCTTCTGTTGATGCTCCAACACCTCACATTTGAGGTGTTCTATCTGGACCCGGTAGGCCTGCTCCTGACTCTCCTTGCCACTGAGGCGGAGCTCCAGGGCTCGCTTTTCCTTCTCCATCAGGTAGTTCCCAGCCTTCAGCTCGGCCTTCTCCTCCTGGATGTGAGGGAGGAAACAGAGAGTCAGTCCATGGTGTTGTACACTACCTAGATACGACATCGGGAACATTGGTGACCTAGCTGTCTAAGGCACCTATATTCCCTGTGTTCAATCCCATTGTCATGGATTGTCTTAGATTGTCTTGGTTTGGTGTCACAATCAGTCTACATGAGCAACCCAAATTAATATATATATATATTGGTATTTTGTTTGGAGTGAGTGAGCGAGTTTGGTTCAACGCCGCTTTTAACGGTATTCCAGTTATTTCACAGCGTGTCAGCTTAATGTGGGAGGAAAGCCTGAAGTGATGCAGGTCTCAGACGTTTACCACTTCAGGGAACCCCATGGTGCTGACAAACCGAGAAACATAATCAGGGCGAACTGGGATTTGAACCCACAATCATATTATTATTATTGGTAAGGAATTGGCCCACTAGAAAAGCCACACTTTAAAGCTTTAGAGTTTCTAACTTCAAATGAAAAGTATGAGCAAGCCTCTGTAACAACATGACTTTTTTATCACGTTCAAATATTCTAAAACACTCCCTGATAACCTCCAAAATCAGTTCTCTTTACAAATATTATCCTTATCTATCCATTTTGTGTTGCCATAAGTCCCAAACAAGCAGCTGGTTGAAATTAACAAAGTGCAGTTCTCGTTCACAGAACACATCTGATAACTTTCGTACCCATTTCTAAAAGTTTTGCAATTCATAACATATGCAGATCCTGTAGATGACAAAGGTTCTGTGACCTATCTCATCCTTAAATTTTGAAAAGGCTGAAAACTTTGGAATGAAACCTTTTTCAGTCAGCGTTGGGTATTTGGGACCTCGTTATAAAGCTTTGGACTCCCCACATGTTCCCTGTGTCCAGAGTCGCTTACTGGCGCTTACTTTACTGGATCGGGTGGCCACTTGGTTGACAGTGTGGTGCTGTTCTCCCACAGCGTGGATCATTGCTTGTGATACTGTTCACGGGATTGTCTGGATCAGACTTGATACAGGCTGCAGACATATTGCTAGGTGCAACACACACTTACTGGTTTCATCACAATTGTGTGAGTGGCCGGTGCCACCAATAGAGCCTTTTTTCATGAACACCTGATTTTCAGTGACTCATTCATGTAATTTTCATCACTATTCACTATTTTCCCGTTAACACTCTGTGGAATCTGTTTCAGCAGATAATCAAGACTGAGTGAGTGAGTGAGTTGTGTTTAACGCTGCTTTTAACAATATTCCAGTTATATCACGGCGTGTCAGCTTAATGTGGGAGGAAAGCCCAAAGTGATGCAGGTCTCAGACGTTTACCACTTCAGTGAAACCCATGAGTATGGTGCTGACAAACCTAGGAACATAATTGGGGCGAACCGGGATTAGAACCCACAATCATAGGTTTCTGGCATGACTAAGGGACACAACTCTGCACAGCGAAACGTGGTGCCTTAGACGACTGGACCACCCGTGCCCCCCTGAAAATCAAGACTGAATATCCTCTGGTGTTGACATTTTGAATTTACCTTCATGGCCATCAACTCCTGCATGAGAACAGCATTCTCCAGGTCCAGTCTCTGGGCTTCTGGCATCTTCTTGGGTTCATCGGACATTGGGTCAATATGGACGCTTTCCAGTTCCAACACGGTCATCTTGACCGCTGCTCGGTCATTCTTCAGAGATTGGATGTAGTCTCGTAACCGCTGCTCATCTATCTTGCTGAAGTCTGTGTCCACCGAACTGGCAGTTGAACTAGTTGTGCTGAAAGTTGTATCAGAAAATGTGTTATTAAGCTATTTGTTATGAAAGACATATCAGAAACAATGTTGTTGGATTTAGTGCTGAAAGTTGTATCAGAAAATGTGTTAATGAGCTATTTGTCCTGAAAGACATATCAGAAACGATGTTGTTGGAAATAGTTGTGCTGAAAGTTGTATCAGAAAATATGTTATTGGAGCTCTTTGTTCTGAAAGCCATATCAGAAGCAATGTTGTTTGAACTAGTTGTACTGAAAGTTGTGTCAGAATATGTAAAATTTGTTTTCAAAGCCATATCAGAAACGATGTTGTTGGAAATAGTTGTGCTGAAAGTTGTATCAGAAAATGCGTCATAGAATAAATTGAACTGATGACAATAATCAAAAAGGTGTCATTGGAACAAGTTGTTCAGAATGCAGTATCAGAAAAATGTTATTAGTTCCTGAAAGAGTATCAGAAAGGATTCATTGAAACTAGTCGTGCTGCAAGCATTACAGGATGGCTTCCCTGTTCCCTGTTACACAATACCTTGCTGTCCTGCTATTGGACGAGAGATCCTCCCACGGACTGGCAGTACACCCAGTCACATGACCAGTACAACATCGTTCCATCTTGTGAAGCAGGTGTTTGGCCACATTTTCAGCTGTTTTCCTCGCGTGATGCGACCGTTGTAGAATGACAGTCACCTCATTTTGGTCGTCACAGATACCGGAGTCTCCTGCTACAAGACAAGGCCAACATAAGACACTAGTTTTATCACCTCAACACATCAACTTAGGATAACTATAATTTAGAATTTATGTCACTCCCTTCGCATGTTGGTAGTCAGAAGTTTCAATGACCACCTCTGTGGTCTTCTAACGTTACCATAGTAAATAGCAGTACGTCTTAAAGTTCAATTATTTTAAGAAATCATAAAGAGATTATGAGTCTCATTTGCAAAAGGCTTGCATAGGCTAAAAAACATAATAGTCTTGGTTATCAGGCACCACCCAAATCATCATGAAGTCTGCCGCACGTTTTGTTTTTATTTCCATTTTCAAAAAAATATATTAATCCTAATAGTTAAACACAATGCACAAAAGAAAATGGAAAATGGAAACAAAAACAAAACGTGCAATGAACTTACGATGATGTGGGCAGTGCAGGAGAACCAAGACTATTATTTTTTTAGCCTAATAGTAATACAAATTGTATTCCTAACATGTGACATTTTCAATACGGTAACAAGAAAAACGTCTTATCATCTCTATTTCGTATCTTTATCACTAAAATAATTGTTTTCAGTCCCCATGCTTTCGAAAATGTTATAAAAAATGATACAAAATCAAGACTATATCTTGTAAATGTGCACTATTTATTGAAAGTAACAGGTTACGACTCAAAGGGAGGTAATTTCAGGATTGAATTATTATCTCCCTTAGATTTGAACTGCATTACCATTTTGATTCTGCTATCTTGGGGATCATGGCCACTCATCACTATTTAATCAGGAGTAGCTGTCAGTTCCATGCCCAAATGGCATCCAATCCATAACAATCCGCTAACAATTCCAAACATCCAGCTTGATTGATCCCCCATGTGGACACTCAGAATACTCCTATCACATGTCTAGTTGTATGTTTCCGAATGTTCTTTAAAGTAGGATATCTGGTCTACAAAACTCCCCAAAATGTCAAGTCAGACAACCAGAATGGCAACTTTGCAAAGATAACAGATAAAATGTTGCCAGTCCGGAATTTTCTAGATTAACGTACAAACATAACAAGAGGGTAAACAAAGAACATGACAGAAACTTGATGTCAAACAAGTATTTGTCACAGAGTGACGAAATATCCCCCGCCATATACACCATAGTACCAAATATGAAGACAATCCAGCGATTAGTTCTTGAGATATTGTGGCAACACCGTTTTCCAACTCCAAAAACAGATTTGCCTGCTGTGACCTTGAAAATGGGATCAAGGTCACCAAATCTGACAGGTGTATGCGGTGTCTGTATATACACTATAGTTCCAAATATGAAGACAATCCAGCGATTAGTTCTTGAGATATCGCGGCAACACCGTTTTCCAACTCCAAAAGCAGATTTGCCTGCTGTGACCTTGAAAATGGGGTCAAGGTCACCAAAACCGACTGGTGTCTGCGGTGTCTGTATATACACCATAGTTCCAAATATGAAGACAATCCAGTGTTTAGTTCTTGAGATATCGCGGCAACACCGTTTTCCAACTCTAAAAGCAGATTTGTCTGCTGTGACCTTGAAAATGGGATCAAGGTCACCAAAACCGACTGGTGTCTGCGGAGTCTGTATATACACCATAGTTCCAAATATGAAGACAATCCAGTGTTTAGTTCTTGAGATATCGCGGCAACACCGTTTTCCAACTCTAAAAGCAGATTTGTCTGCTGTGACCTTGAAAATGGGATCAAGGTCACCAAAACCGACTGGTGTCTGCGGAGTCTGTATATACACCATAGTTCCAAATATGAAGACAATCCAGTGTTTAGTTCTTGAGATATCGCGGCAACAAACAGGTGGGACGTACGGACGGACGTACGGACGGACGGACGTACGGATGGTCGTGAATACTATATCCCCCGCTTCGCGCTTTCGCGCGGCGGGGGATAATTATGCGGAAATGACTCAATAATGTGTTTAATGGTTACAGCTAATTTACCTGTTACAATGAATTATAACTAGAATGCATGGGGAATTTAGGGAATACAGTATAAGGCCAACCATCGGACGTGCAACTTTCCCAAACTGGCTGTCCATCAGCAAAACTGACTGTCGTGCAGGCGGGTATTTTAAACACTATGATGTCACAGCACTGTGACCTCATTCCATGACATCATATTATGTTTGACATCATCAACAGAATGTCACTGCACAGTAGTCATTGAGGGGAGATATATATGAGAACATATTGATCCATTTGCTAAATATTAAGCACACCAATCTATAAGAAATATTATATAATCCTTTAGTAATGTGTGGTTAAAGTATTTCAAGAAGTCAATTACTATTAATTATAATTTCATGCAAAACTGATAACACTGTGATAGTTTTCCCGATATCTCTCTAAAGTAAAGTGTGAATTTGGTTTGAAAGTTCACAAGTGCAACCAGGGAAATTAAATACACACAAAGCTCCTTCAGCTGGTAAGGTAGATTAATCATATACACTTTAAAAATACCTATCCAATTGTTATTTGAAAAGATTAATAGTTCACTCAGCAATATTCCAGCTGTACAATGGTGGTCTGTAAATAAATGAGTAAGGACCCGACAATCCAGTGATTGATATCATGAGCTTCGAACTACACAAATGGGATAAAAGGACATTTATCTACAAATCCCGAGTCAGACCATGTGATCCCGTAAGTCGCCTCTTACGACATGCATGGGTTGCTGAAGACCAATTCGAACCTAGATCTTCACATAGGAATACCTATCCGAGACAAGAGTCATCAGAAGATGACAAATCTCCCCGGCCCCAACGATTACTAAAGGCACCACTTCAGACCCCGGTTAATACATTTACCAAGGTGGGATGAAAAATCTTTCTCAAGTTATGTTCTGAAAACGAAATACGGATGGACAGACGGAAGGACGGACCAGGTGATGACCATTATATGCTTGGGGGATAAAAAGGGTCAATATCATCTATAAAGATCAGTGAGTGAGTGAGTTTGGTTTTACGCCGCTTTTAGCAATATTCCAGCAATATCACGGTGGGGGACACCAGAAATGGGCTTCACACATTGTACCCATGTCGGGAATCGAACCCGGGTCTTTCAGCGTGACGAGCGAACGCTTTAACCACTAGGCTACCCGACCGCCCCCCATAAAGATCCATGGACATCCTTAAAGATGGACACTCACCTAAACTTCCAAGTCCTGCGGCTCGGCAGTTGGACAGCAGTACTCCCATCTCTGTCTCCAGCAGAGCACACAACACCTCATACGCTTCTATAGCCTGGTCCGAGTAGTTGATAGCCAAGTTCAAGGCCGTATTGTTCGACTCATATTTCCCCATGAGCACTGTAAGCCTCTCCGAATACGCTTTACTCTCGCTCAAGGTCAAGGCATTGAGGTCATGCTGAGATTTCAGATTGTCTATCTTACTCTGCAGCCTCTCAAACTCAATCTCAAACTCCTTGACCTTTGTGTCCCCGATCTCACTGCCACACTTGTACAGAGTCTGAACAATCTCCTGCATATTGGAACACTCCTGTAGACTCTGAACCAGATGCTCGGCCACCTTGGTGTTGGGTAGCTAAAACAAAATACACAGTGTTACATCCATACTTCAAGAGATGAACTGCAAGTGAATCCATGGTATTTCGCGAACCAAGCAATCTTTTTTCGTTTACGTTCGACAATGGAATGAGTGAGTGAGTGAGTGAGTTGGATTTTACGCCGCTTTTAGCAATATTCCAGCAATATCACGGCGGGGGACACCAGAAATGGGCTTCACACATTGTACCCATGTTGGGAATCAAACCCGGGTCTTCGGCGTGACAAGCGAACACTTTAACCACTAGGCTACCCGACCGCCCGACAATGGAATGAAACAGTGGCATGTCGACGCTGTAACATCCCAGTGAAATATGCAGGAATAACAAGTCATCTCTCTTATAATGTGTGAGTTAATGAGTACGCTGTTATGCCGCTTTTAGTAATATTCCAGCAATATCATGGCGGGAGAACCAGAAATGGGCTTCACACATTGTACCAATTCCGGGAATTGAACCCGGGTCTTCGGCGTGAAGAGTGAATGCCTTACCCACAGGGCTACCCCACAGCCCCCATTTCCCTTATAAACATCCTGCCACTATTGGCTATAGTATTGTAGGTATCTCGCTATCTCATAGTGACCTTGTGAGAGGTACAACTTTCAAGTGAGACCAGCTGAGGTTTTACAGTTCAAATGTATAAGCAGCCTTTTAAAATGCACCTAATAGTGATTTTTGATTGTTTAAAAGTTACAATTTGTTTCATATGAAAATCTCATGATGTGAATCAAACCTGCTACCTTACATATCATGTTTAGTTTTGTAACCCCCTTGGCCACCGAGGCAGGTGATGAAATGATGTTCGATGTCATGACTTCAGTTGTCAGCATACTGAACATGGTATTTCTTTCGCACATCTTTCTTTTTTTCATCTTCTGTATAGTTTCACTATAAGGTATCCTTATTCTTCCTGGTATTACTTGCATTTAGATGATTTATCAGTAAGTTAAAACACTCCTGTTTGAAAATGTAACACCCAACATTACTTTGCCAGCACAGTTATTCTCTACAGTATTTTGGTTTGTTTTTAAAAAATTGTTTAACACCGCACTCAGCAATATTCCAGCTATATGATGGCAGTCTGTAAATAATGAGTCAGGACCAGAAAATCCAGTGATTGACATCATGAGCATCAATCACAATTGGGATACAATGATATGCATCAAGCAAGTCAGCGACACTGACCACCCGATCCTGTTAGTCGCCTCTTACAGACAATATAGCAGTTTCCTCAAAGATCCCGAACTATTAGCAGGCTCCTCTTTGAAAACATGTAAAACAATTATGACATGCTTGTGTGATATTACTGATTACTGAATGCTCCCTCAAATCCACCAATCAACACTTACCCCTAATGAACTAATTTCAGATCCCAAGACCTGCCGATCACCGGCACATGTTTTTAATTTTTTCAACTCTGCTATTTTTGCGACGGGGAACTGATCATTGCTTGGGGTCATCTGCAGCTGGGACTGGTTCAGCTGCGACTTGGTCGGCGTGGACGTCCGACTGTCGTTAGGACTAGACGAACTCTCCTTCACCTGGATCCGAGACTGCATCTCACGAACCTGGAAAATGAAATAATAAGAATATCTGTATGTTTGTTCCTTCAATGACGAGTACAAAGCATGTTGGGTTCAGACAGACTCAAGTCGTTGGACTTGAGATACTAGTACACCACATCAGAATTAGTTGTTCAACAGGCAGTTTTTGTAGGGAGTCCACAGTGCAGATTGAATCATTTGCAGCTGTGATTGGATGATTTTGTGTGAGATTTTTACGTTTTTTTAAATGTACATCCATCCAGTAATTAAAACTGACTATGTTTGTCAATATTTTGAAGTGCCTTTTTTAACATGATGACTTATGCTAAATGTAACCACAGATATTTTCAAGCAAGTGACATTTGGTGTGGAACTGGGAGTGGTGTGTTTAGCTTCCGGTACTCGGAAAAGAAGCTAGTAAATTTTTTTGTTTTCATTGCTGCCAGACTGTGCACATATGTACAGGAAATAGCTTTGAATACTTAGTTAGGTCAGCAAGACAGACCACCCTATCCTGTTAATCGCCTCTTATGACAAGCATAGTCGCCTTCTACGACAAGCATGGGTTGCTGAAGACATATTTTAACCCCGATATTCACGGGTTCAAGATCTTGTGAAATCTTTTTTACAAAAATCATATTTTGGGGGAACACAAGCACAGTGTCCAACCCAGGATTGAAAATCAAGGGGGGACTTGTCCCCCCATCATGTAGAATATAGGAGGGATTTTGAAAAAGTAGGGGGATAATTGCTTTCTTCAAAAATGTCTTATTTTGTATTATGTACTGGAACATCATCATATAAAAGTGTAACAGATCAGAATAAAGAACTAAAATGAATAACAATGTTTTGTGCTTTTTTCTATTTTGATTAAAAAAGTCTGTAATTCTTTTGTTTTTGCGCGACATGGTCATTCACTATTCAAAAGATCGTCTGCTATGACAGTCGGCGATTCATATTGTGTGATTTCAGAAACGAAACTAAAACGAACTAAAATGCTCAAAAATATTTTCAGAACTATTCAAGATAGAATATTTATTGTCTTTAAACATCTTGTCAAAGGTTTTTGATTACTAAACAACAAAATACAACATAATTTTGATCAAAGTTTTGATACGTTTTCTACTAAGTAAATTAAATTTCGTTTCCTATGAGAATCCTATCGATAATTTATTCAGCAACCCAAGGGACGTCACTTGTTATCGATCGGTCTTCGACAGTTGTTTACAATGTTTGCTGTGAACTGTCTTTCTTCGTTAATAGATTAAGGATTTATTGAGTATTGAATCTAAAGGTAGGGATAAACAGCTGATAAAGAAAGTGACTGTAAGTGACAGATTGCACTTTGATTTTTTTATGAGGGGCGATTTGATTTTTTTAAGTGTGAATCACGCAATCGCGCGGCCTGAGTTGGACACTGCAAGCATCATACATTAATTTTAGGCTCAAATCTATTGTAGCTCAAAATCATAAATGTAGGCATCTCTGTGAGGGTTACTTCTTAACCAACCTTCCGTTTCAACTTCTCGCGTTCGTCTCGCAATGCCTCCAGGTGTTCACGCAGCATGTTCAGGTCCACTTCCTGCTTGCCGATCTGTTCCTGCAGGGTGTTGTTCTCGACCCGGAGGCTGGCGATCTCCTCCTGGAGGTACTCGGGGTCAGGGTACTGGTTCGGGGGCGGTGGGGGAGGTGGGTGGAACATTGCGGGTCGCAACTGCCGAGGGGGCAAGGTCGGTGGCTGGCCAAGGCCGAGGCCACTCAAGTCTTCACAGATCTGCAGATGACATGAGGGAGAGGAATCGTCAGCATTAAAGTATCAATATCAAAGTTTGAGGAACATATTAGTGAGTGAGTTGGGTTTAAAACTGCCTTGAATAATATTTCAATTATATCACAGCGTTTCATCTTTGAGAAAAAGCTGAAAGTGACACAGGTTGTATAGGTTACACTTTACCACAACTGTGGTGCTAACAGACCAATAAGAATCATATTCAAGGTGAGTCTGGGATTCAAACCTACAATCATCAAATTCAGGCATGACAAGAGGAGACAACTCTGCATGGTGAATTGCAGCACCTAAGACAACTGATTTTGGAAATGATACACCAAACTCAAATCTCAATTGTAGACTTGCATATTTTCAGTAACTCAAAGGATGATCACAGCTATACTGTCTCTCGTTAGTGCTCACAGAATTTGGATTAAAACAAATATGGCCGCCATGCAGTAGGGCTGGGACGGGTAATTCAGGTACTCGGGTTGGATGGGTACTGAGTAGGACCCAGGTACCCACAAGACTACCCGGACCCGTGGTTAGTCACGTGATATATTGTTTCATGACAAAAAAATCACTATATAACTACATGGTTACACGACAATTTTAAGTCTCATTTCTTCATGACTATGAACACGTTCCTTTTGACTTACATGTTTGAACAAAGCTAAAACTTCAGTCAACTTCAGTGTATGCATGACCACATCGTTTTATACGTGTATCGGAATACATTTTGCCAGGGCTACTATCAAACTATTCCCAATCGGACATTTTGTACCTATCTTTTGACACCAACAGCGGGTAGGGTAGGGTAATAGTGGTGTGGGAACCCGGGTAGTAAATTTGGACTTGTCCCAGCCCTACCATGCAGCCATTTTGAAAATGGCCATTTAGCACCATGTGCAAAAGTGAAGTCTATCAAGGTAGACACTTTCAGACTTTCTCCTCTGAATAACGACAGTATAGTTTAACCTTCAGCGGAACCCCACTTATCCAGACATTTACAAGTCACTGTTGACTACCAGGTACAATATGTCAATCATGACTTTATTTATGCATTGTACACATGCACAGGAGTGTCTGTGTAAATGAGGTCAGTATGAATGAGTGTTCTAAAAAACCTGGTGTCATGCATATCATCTCTCAATTTTCATTCCAAGGAGCACCAGGTTTTCCTTGGCAGAAGCTCCAGATATAAAAATTTAATTACAAAAACACAAAATACCAGCAGTTACCTCCCCTGCCTTCTCGTCCACGCTATCATTGTCCACATCCTGGGTGAGTCTCCGGATGGCATCTCTCTCTCCGTCGTCCACGCCGATAGCCATCTCCTTCCTCTCCGCGATGGCCGACTCCAGCTCAGTCACCACACGGGTGAACTCGGCGTTAATCTCGTTGCCGATTTCTGAAACAAGAACGGTGCAAATCTACAGCTGACCTAACATAAAAACAGTGAATTTTGGTCAACAGTGTTTCAGTTTGGCATTCATTTTGCTATGCTGACTTACATTGTACTCCGAAAAATCAGTTTTCATTCTTAATAATTCTGAGAATACTACCTCAATTACATCATTGCCATAATCCTGTATTTTGGCAGACAAAAATACTTAGATTTTCAACAGAAGTTCTCTTTACTGTCAGCTATCCACAATCAGTTGTTTGTATACTCTATTTTCTTGAATATAGTGCTCACCCATGTATAATGCGCACCCCCCTCTAGCAGATTCAATATTTTGGAAAAAAACGACAAACGAGCGGGTGATGAGAAACTTGGTCAGGACTAATTCGAAATTTGAGATAAAAAAATCACCAGACATGTTGATTTACCGTTTTAATTGTATTTTTTGTTCTGCTAGGCATTGTTTTATATCCAGGGATTAAGATTACCATGTGTATTTTCTCGTAAACTAAGCCTGACACAGCAATCAGCTGTACGCACGTTTTCTTGAAATATGCCAGTGATTCTGTCAAGACACACCCAATGATATAACTTTACAGGATTTTAATGCAAGGATCGGCAAAAATTGTATCTGAAACTATTTTTTTATCAGGAATAATATATTCCAATATCTTGTTAATTTAGATGCACCTTTTACTAAACATATTTAAAATAATAATAACCCTAAGCGAAGCAGCTGATCGCTATTGCCGGGTATTATTTTTTACATGGAACAAGTCTGACCAGTCACCGCAAGGCTCCCGTGCACGTGATCGCGACATAGAATCGTCCAACAAAAACAAATATTACTTTTAACGAGTCACAGTATGGCATTTATGATATATGTATCCATTCTGTCAACTAAAGTTCTTTTCAAGGCGTCAATAGCGGTTATCTGACCGCGGTTGCTGTTAATAACGGTGAGTTGTGCGATCTTCCGATCGCTTCACACAAAATTTCGCCCGAAATTAATTGAAACAATGTTAAAAGGAATTTTGAATAAAATTAATAAAATAAGTTACAAACATAAGTCCAGACATACAAAGAACACTTTTTATAGCCAGAAAGTGTAATTACATGACTAATTTGCGTACTTCAGTATGGATTTGTTGACATGGTATTTCCGGTGTTACGCGTTCACGGTAATGTCTTTCCATGGGGGAAAAAACATCAAAACTCATTAATTTGAGTATAATGCGCACCCCCTTCTACACAGCTGTGTTTTTTGGAAAAAAAGTGTACACTATACTCAAGAAAATATGGTAACAGTCTTCCACTTCCTAGTGCTTCTGCACATTCATTAGGTTGAAAAAACACACTTCTTTCCAATCATGAAACATCAAACTTGGGGGGGCAACGAGCTGTGTAGAATTACTCCTGATATAATAAAGGTAGTATTCTTGTAATTATTAACAAATAACTATCAACAGAGGTAGGGTATTCGTTGGAATTATGCAGTATAATGATTTGGAGATGATGAAGATATGTTTTGCTGTAGTTTTTATATCTATATATATATATATACTGTAAAACGTGAAATTAATGTGTCTCCAAAAGAATGCACGGGCGGTCGGGTAGCCTAGTGGTTAAAGCGTTCGCTCGTCACGCCGAAGACCCGGGCTCGATTCCCGACATGGGTACAATGTGTGAAGCCCATTTCTGGTGTCCCCCGCCGTGATATTGCTGGAATATTGCTAAAAGCGGCGTAAAACCATACTCACTCACTCCAAAAGAATGCGACCACTGGCCCCTAGCCAAAATTGCGACTCAATATGAATGCGACACCCCCTCCTCTCAAACATCAGTGGATTTATATCTAAACAAAATGTCCTCTGTCAGGTTTACAGGAGAATCCTCACCTTAATCCAACCTTACATTAATCCAATCACACACCAAATAGCACCGCTTATTAGCGCTGAGTAGAGTACTACAGCTAAAACAATATGTGCGTGCTGGCTCGTGTCGGCCTTTGATGCAGTCGCAAAGAGCAAAGACACCGTGTTGGGTGGCGTCTGTCTGGACTTGCAGGTGTGATCAGTGATGACATGAGTGAGTAGAACGCTTGTCTTGACCCCAGCAGTGACAATTCACAGGATGTAATTAGTGTTTGAATGACATTGTTTATATACTTGTAACAAGTGCTGCTAAATAAACATTGATGTGGAATACAAAGTTGGTATTTCTGCTATCCAAAATGTCTTATTGTTGATATAAATGTGATGTTTAATAATGCGAGCAAAGACCACTTGCATTTTTCACATTTAATTCACGCTCGCGTAAATTTCAAGATTTACAGAATATATTTCAAGAAAATGCACAATGATTCTGCATGAAGTCCCTGAAGGGAACTGACACTGCAGCCTATACACTTGTATCTGTTACAAGATGCCTCGGTACCGAGTAAACACAGCTATTGACAGAGTTATCTCCCTTCCTCCACAAATTCTCCTGATCCCTCTCTCAATGCACTCAGCATATTAACCGTAAACCACACCACTTATAAAGTATTTTAGGAGAACCTACAAAGGGATCATCAACAGTTTTGTAACTGAAAGCTTAATGTAGAGTTAATGTATAGATCACTCCCTGCAATGGTTGCCTAACTTCATTACCAGACATCACAGGAAATGTAACAAGTTTGACTCATAATCTGATGGAGGTCAAATACTCCTCTAAAACTAATGGGAAAATAAGAGATCTAGTTCTGAACTCTCGATGTCAGCTTTATGAGAATACCATATTTCTCCAATTAAGAGCTGCCCTATACTATGGGCTGAGTCTTGACATAAGATCTGAATTGATAATACTAACAATGGATCGGAGTATGATATCAAGCATGGAAAAGCACCATACAAAGTTTATTTTATTTTATTTTATTTTATCTATCATTTATTTATTTATTTATTTATTTATTTATTTACAGTGATCGCTCGCTATTGCGCTCTTCGATAAAGCGCTACTTCGGTTATTACGCGCGGTAACGCATGGCTCCCAAAATTTATGTACACTTTTAATACTGAGAGTTTTACACAGACATGATTGTATTGTTGTTCGTTGTTTATTTGCACATAACGCTTCTCATTGCATAATCAACGGTTTATCGCTGAATGGAGTTCTAATAATCTGTTTGAAAACATCCGCGGCAGGTCCCGGAAATACGATTGTTCTACTAGTTAACTTTTCACACTATACATCCTTTGATCTTAGAAGCGCATGCATGCAATAAAAGAGAACCACAAGTGAAGTTTATATTCTTAATTAGTGGGCAATCCAATTTAAGGCTAAACTGTCACACACATGTAGTTGCTGTCACAACACGGCGGTCATTCATTTCGTAATCGCGCTTTCGTAACATCGCCTGTTTTTTCCCCGTAGTTATAACAAGCGATTTCATTGGATTAAAATTTGTTTCTAATGACGCTTTCTTGCCGAAATCTGCTACAAGTTTCGTGATTGGTCAATTTTGAGCATGTGACCTCAGGCAGCCAATCAAGCTGTGATACAAAGCTCGTGTTTGATAAATTTCAGAAGTTAGCGAAAGATTTTTTGTTAAATCGTGTTATTCTGAACGTTTTAAGCAGGAAATCACGATATATATTAAAAATATGGAACTTTGCGAATGTATCGTGCTAGGTTACGAGCTGTGACAAAGATTTTTCATGCATATATTTTTGCATTAAACGTTGTGTCCGAGCCGAGAATTCAAGGCGACGAAAGCCGAGATGTCATTTGACTTACATTACACGCGATCGCACGAAACGATGGAAATAATAACTTAGATGTAAGTTTGATTACTTTTAGATATATTTTTGTTGATTTTATTTATCACTTTGTATAATATATTTAAAGATTTGCTTAAAATAGTCTTTATTTTGCTCTTTGACATGTTCGATGCGGACCCGTTGTCGAAATGTGTGTCCGAGAATTTTATTTTCAATAACATCGCGGGAAATAATGAATAATTTTTTAATTTATTGATAAAAACTGATAAATTAGAATGGAATACGTATTTCAGACATTGTGAAATATGACAGATTTAATAAATGAATGATATTACAGGTAGATCTAGGTCTATAAAAATATATACTATTTTGACGTGACGTGAGATAAACACATAGGCCTATTGATGATTTGAGATTTGCCGAGCGCGCTCCCCCGCCTCGGCCTCGGTTAAACGGCTCATCGTCTATAACGCCCACCAATTATTTGGACCCCATTGGTAGCGCAATAGCGAGCGATCACTGTATTTATTATTGCTGTTATTATTATCTATATTATCATCATCATCATTATCAATATTGTTTATTTTATTATTTTATTTTATTATAATTGCTGTTGTCAGTATCATTATTATGATGATGATCATCACCATCATTATTATACTGAATGTAAGAGTGTGTTGAGGCAAGGTTTATTACCACAACTAGCTGACTGGGATCCGTTGGCGTTGTTCTCGTTGATGCTACCACCATCGTTGCTCTTGTCCGACTCCTCGAACTCATCCTCCTCCCTGACACAGAGATACACACACATCTTACACACAGGTATTGCATCCGCACCACCTTCAATTGGCATCCGAATCAACAACAACAAAATCTTTCCGAGGCATTTAGTTGAATTTTAGGGCCTTCGCAAGGCGGTTTCAATTTCAAGGCCTTTTTAAGGCAAGGCTAAGATTCAAGGCTTTTTCAAGGCAGATTCAAATTTAAGACCTCTTTAGGACAGACACAATTTCAATCTTTGGCCTCTTAGCTGTAACCCTGACAAGAAACACACACTGATCTCAAAACTGTTTCTCCCTGACCTACAACCAACCCCCAACATCCAGTTTCAAACTACAATCAAATTTTAATTGACATATTGATGTCCAAACCTTATCACATTAATCTGGTGGCGTTCTATCTTCTTGCGCAATTCTGCAATAACGCTGTGCAGCTCTGTTATTCTCTCCTCGTAGCGCCCTGCAGTCTGGTCGATGCGGTCCTCGCACTCATGCTGGAGATGCAGCTTTTCACTCTGAAAACACATTGTCATATGTCCACTTCACCATGTCAACTTTCAAAATGAAGTTTGCTTTGATGATTCTACAGACACAACTTGGAAATAATACACTACTATGATATATACTACTAAAAAAGTAAAAGAATATCTGATTCTGTCATATTAGTATAGTTAATCTGTCATGGCAAGAGCTCCACATTCTGTCATATTACTATAGTTAATCTGTCAAGGCAAGAGCTCCACATTCTGTCATATTACTATAGTTAATCTGTCAAGGCAAGAGCTCCACATTCTGTCATATTACTATAGTTAATCTGTCAAGGCAAGAGCTCCACATTCTGTCATATTACTATAGTTAATCTGTCATGGCAAGAGCTCCACATTCTGTCATATTACAATAGTTAATCTGTCAAGGCAAGAGCTCCACATTCTGTCATATTACTATAGTTAATCTGTCATGGCAAGAGCTCCACATTCTGTCATATTACTATAGTTAATCTGTCAAGGCAAGAGCTCCACATTCTGTCATATTACTATAGTTAATCTGTCAAGGCAAGAGCTCCACATTCTGTCATATTAGTATAGTTAATCTGTCAAGGCAAGAGCTCCACATTCTGTCATATTACTATAGTTAATCTGTCAAGGCAAGAGCTCCACATTCTGTCATATTACTATAGTTAATCTGTCAAGGCAAGAATACCCGATTCTTTAATGTTACTACAGTTAATCTGTCAAGGCAAGAGCTCCACATTCTGTCATATTACTATAGTTAATCTGTCATGGCAAGAACTCCCGATTCTATCATATTACTACAGCTAATCTGTCATGGCAAGAATACCCGATTCTAAAATATTACAACAGTTGATCTGTCATGGCAAGAATACCCGATTCTATCATATTACTACAGCTAATCTGTCATGGCAAGAATACCCGATTCTATCATATTACTACAGCTAATCTGTCATGGCAAGAATACCCGATTCTAAAATATTACAACAGATGATCTGTCATGGCAAGAATACCCGATTCTATCATATTACTACAGCTAATATGTCATGGCAAGAATACCCGATTCTATCATATTACTATAGTTAATCTGTCATGGCAAGAATACCTGATTCTATCATATTACTATAGTTAATCTGTCATGACAAGAATACCCGATTCTATCATATTACTACAGTTAATCTGTCAAGGCAAGAATACCCAATTCTTTTATGTTACTACAGTTAATCTGTCAAGGCAAGAATACCCGATTCCTTTATGTTACTACAGTTAATCTGTCATGGCAAGAATACCCAATTCTTTTATGTTACTACAGTTAATCATGTCAGATTAACTTTAGTAACATGAAGAATCATGTGTTCTTTAAATTCTTGTCGTATACATCATACCTATGTATATAAAGTTCTTTCACTGATAACCTTGTCTGCTTCCTAATATTAGGTTTTATGGAAAACAGATTCTCTTAATGTTAAACTTTATTCTTAAACTTTTCAATAAATCTTTCATATTTTGTTCTTAAACTTTTCTATGAATCTTAACTATACTTTCATACTTTATCATAAAATGTTTTGATAAATCTCACCTGTACTTTCGTTAGCTGCTTTTCAAGAAGGTCTCTTTCACTAGTTACATGTTGAAGTCGATTATTTAGATCAATTATCTCCCCTTTTAGTGAAGTCAAGGCCGCCAGGTGGAGCTGAAGGAGAAAACAAATTATAAGCAAAGGACAATGAAATTATCTATCACCAACCAAATATCAATAAAAAATCGAAATCATAAGTATCTATAAGTAAAAGCACTAATATCATATAAATACATAAACTGGCTTATAACCTGCAAAAGAAAAAGTTGCAAAACAGTTTCCTGAATGGTTACTCATCAAATACCAAAAATATATGGCTGCCATTGTGATCCTCGACTTCACGTCAACTCTTCCATGAAGAATAGGACAGAGTGAGATTGTCTGCTCAGAGAGCCCCCACACTATACTCAAATCACACATTTGGCAGCCATCTTGACTATGCAATCCACATAGTGAGAACCATATAAAATCCTAATTGGTTTTCCAACAGGTCCCATCCAACCAAAAGCCATATTGACCACACAATCCACATAGTGAAAACCATACATTACAAGAAACCTAATTGGTTTCCCAACAGGTCCCATCTATCAAGCCATGTCAGAAGCCATTGTGACCTTGTCATCACCACTTTTGCCAGAGTTTTAAAAGAAAGCATGAGGGTACTTGAAGCCAAGTTTGAGCTGGGTGATCCAGTGGTCTAATCCTAGTGTCCTGGATCAGCAAGAGTGGTCCACATTGCAGCACGGAGTCCTGGAGGACTCTTAGTAAGTAACCTCTTCTGTCTCACCGGGCACATTCAGTCTATGTATGCAGCAGTCATCAATAGTCCAGCTATATCATGGTACATGTAGCTTGGATATAATCGAGTCTGGGCCAGGCAAACCATTATCAGGAATGGTGACGAGCAGGTTGCCAAGTCTGTCCACTAGATCACTAGATCCAATTCCGTACTGGGGATGTTATCTAACACTGATCCCATGGGTAGAACACCATTTAACTACGCAGTCCTCATTGAAGTCTTTGAGGAGCTCAACATACCAGTTAAGTATTCTTACTTTGTGACTTAATGGTCAAGTCCAAGTATTGATATTCACCCAGTGAGGATTCCGGGTCAGAACAGGTCCCTTATAGTGTTTTGTTCTTTGTATCAAGCCGCACTCAGCAATATTCCAGCTGTTTGATAACAGCCTGTCTGGACTAGAAATCCAGTGATTGATATTGTGAGCAACAATCCACATCGTCGGGGTATGATGACATGCCATCAAGTAAGTCAGTTAGCCTGACCACCCGATCCAGTTGATAACCTCTTACAACAAGCATAGGTTGCTGGAACCTATTCTTACCCAGAATGCCCATGTTTGTCTGTTGTTAATGCAGCACCCAGCACTATTCCAGCTATATGACAGCAGTCTGTAAATAATCGAATCTGGACCAAATAAGCCAGTGATTGATATCGATCTACCCAATTGGGATACGATGACATGGATCAACAGGTCAGTGAGCCTGATCACCCGATGCCGTTAGTCGCCTTTACGGCAAACATGAGTTGCCAAAATTTATTCTGACCCGGATCTTCACAGGTCTGGACTGCCCATGGGTTATGTCCTTAATAACCTATGTCTGTCACACAAGGCGACCAAACAGATCTGTCAAACATGTTGAGTTGGTAGATTGCATGTCATCATACCCTGATGCAGTAGGGTAGTGCTCATAATATCTATCACTAGTTTGTCAGGTCCAGATTTGACTATTTACAAGCTGTAAAAATATATAGCTGGAATCGTGGAAATGTTGATGACTGTGGTGACAAGAAATAACAAAAAATGGTGCCATTCTCATTTCTATATCCAGCAGCCATCGTGACTGCCAAATCCACATTTAGTCAGCTCCTAAAGGAAACATAGGATTCTAGTGACGTATTCAGTCAGGAGCCCCAAGGGTCGTATCACACCGTTAACAGTAGCCACTGCCTTCAAATCACCTTCCCCCTAAGGGACTCTGGGTTAGAACAGGTCCCCAGCATCGTGGTTGTAAGAGGCGACCAAATTGATCAGGTGCTTGGTGACTTGGTAGATTGTGTCTCATCGTACCCCGTCATCTGGACTGCCTGATCCACACTCGATAATGTACAGACCTCCATCACATAGGTGGAATAATGCAGAGTGTGGCACTAAACAACAAGGAAAACAAGCAAATGAAATCACCTCCAGATGTACTGGGGACCTAATCCAGTCAAGATAATCCTCCCAAGGGAAATCCGCTTCTGTTAAACCATCACCAACAGCCTACCTGCACAACAATCTGCTGATCAGGAACTACCTCCCCACCACAACAACATCCGATATTTCAAGACTCTGTCGATGCTTTGACAAGTCCAAGTCGTAAGAACAATTACCTCAAACACGGATCCAAATATAACTCAGTTCTTGAAACATTTCGCCACCTTGCCACTTCTCCACACAAAACACTACTCAGCACATTCTCTCCCGACCTTCAAACCCCGGTCCTTCAATGCCACTGCAACGCGGCCATCCATCAATTGACAACACGAGGAGGATAATTTGCTGCCGATATTCCAGTGAGATTCAATACAAGGTTACAGTGTCTCTGTCAGCAATTACTGGCCGTATGTCATGGCAATATTTCTCCACCCATGGGATATAAATACTTATCACACTCTGGGACACAAATGCACACAGGGGATAAGATAAGGTTGTGACATTGGATATAATAGGGATATAATAGGAATCATATCGTATACAGATTTGAGGCAGGCATTTGCACACAATCCATAATTTATGACACAGGAATAAATATTGGCACAAAATTACCATAATTGCCCTTCTGTAATGTTACCGTTCGGATGGCTTATATGTATTCTTCATTGTTACAAGATGTCAAAAAAAAAAGATTTTCCCTACCTGCCTTTTCCCCTTTAAAACTGAACTGCTTTTTCTGAATAGATTTTCATGAGTTTTAGCATAAATAATACCAACAAACTTACATTTACAAAAAGAGGAAGAAATACAATAGCTGTTTTTAGGTATTGTGTTGAAGTAAACACAGATTTAACAAAACTGTGTTTCTGAAAATATCCAGATTTAAAAAAAATCTTCACTAATTAAAGATTCTCATCTGATATAAAAAAACAATTTTCTCCTGATCAAAACAAATTGCTACACATTAAACATCATTTCACCAGAACCGAATATTTAGATTTGGGGGCCAACCGATTGATAGCAACTGGTGCATTTGCAGTAAGCGCATCATGTTAGAATAATCAATAGAAGCTATCAGGATGTAAGGCTCCAATGCTGGTAAATTCCATGCCTAGGCTCCCTAGGGAGTCGCAGTAATAAACCCCTACTATATGTGCAATGCACACAGCTAATTGGAACTGCAATTCTTGGAGCCCAATTCCCAATAAAATATTTTGATCTTTTTCGACTCTGCAACCTCAAAGAACCTTTCTATAGCTAGTTAAAGGCACCATGTATACATGTGATGTCTGTTGTGAACAGTGTCTTGGTTGTATCACAGAGCATCAGCTCCAAGTAGGGGGAAGTGATGTAGGCTTCAGGCCTTGATACCCATGAACATGGATATAGTGATGACAGATCGCGGATCTTAATCAGGGCTAACATGGGTCAACAGCAGATCCTGGCAGCAAGGGGGCACAACACCGCACAACTCAACACCATTAAATGAGTGAGACAGTGAAGCTGTTAGAGAGTGAGGCAGTGGGTGAGTGAGTGATTGAGTGATGCAGTCAGTGAGAGAGTGAGGCAGTCAGTGGGGCAGTGGGTGAGGCAGTGGGTGAGTGAGTGGGTGAGGCAGTGAGTGAGTGAGGTAGTAAGTGAGGCAGTCAGTGTGAGGCAATAAGCGAATGAGTGAGTGAGTGAGGCAGTGAGTGAGTGAGGCAGTAAGTGAGTGAGTGTGAGTGAGTGTGAGTGAATGTGAGTGAATGTGAGTGAGTGAATGAGTGAGGCAGTGAGACAGTGAGTGAGGCAGTCAGATAGTGAGTGAGTGAGCGAGGCAGTGAGTGAGTGAGTGAGTGAGTGAGTGAATGTACCCATGTCGGGAATCGAACCGGGTCTTCGGCGTGGAATCTTCACTGTGACATTAGCTGCTGCTTTAACCACTTAGCTACCCAATCTCTCCTTACTTCAACTAACTGAAGCCATGCCAGTTTATTTTCTTCTTTCAAAGATGACTCTACCCTTAAGCTTGCAAAATTGAAAAACAAAAAGGACAACATTAACCATTTTGTAAATTTCTTTAAAATTCTATTTGAAATCATTTTTTTGCATATTGACTTTGAAAAGCCATCAAACACAAAATAAATGGGTCTAGTTTGATAACTACTTTCTGCAGTTCAAGTAAAGATATTTGGGCGAAAATAAAATTCTGCCTCAGGTTACATGATAATTGAGAAACTTAATATTGAGTCTTCGACTACCAAACTAGCAATGATTTCTTTTCATGTATTCTGTGTATCCAGTTAAGACAGGACAATCTGATCAACTGTAACAAGAATATCCCATATTGACAAAGAGGACGGAATAAGATCATTCACGTCTGTGGATGCTATTGTCCTGGAGACTGATCACAAAAGATGCGCAAAATTAAATTTGCACTCAGGCTCAAGTTTCAGAAATGAACAAATACTCCAAATAGACCAGAACTGATGTAGACACTTTACTAACTCCTTACACAGGAGACTTCCAATGGCGAGGAAATCGATAAACAGTGGTTGGCGAGCCGTTTGTTGTTTGGAGGACACTATCATAATGAAAACCAACCCTAATGTCAGATTAGGTCAATATCATTATATCTTAAATGTTACAACTAGATAAAAGAAATTATAAAGAATATACACCAAACCATATTTATCTGAACTGATGGCTTTTTTGCATTTGAATTATTGGAATTATAAAACATATACTCTCGGTGAGTGAGTGAGTGAGCTGGGTTTAAAACTGCTTTGAACAGTATTACAGCTATATTATCACGGTGTGTTAGCTTAATGAGGGAGGCAAGCTGGAAGAAGTTTACATCTTTGGAAATTCATGCTTGTCCGGACAAGGTAACATCCAATGATGTCTTCCTGATCT